GGAATCGAATTAATGATTCCCATCTTTAGTGCTATATAAATATTTTTGAATAAAAATGGGTAATTAGATATATTGCTCAAATCAAATAGCAACATACAATAAGTATCACAACTTACTCATTTCTAAACACCCTCTCATCATTTACCACCGCACAACGAGAAACTGGAGGATGATAAAAACTCGTAAAGGGGAATTCAAATCATGAATAATTCATTAGCCTCTCTATAAACAAAAGCATAATAAATAAACCAATCGCGCTGAATTAAAGTCCAGGCCTCCTGGATTACGTCCTGGAAGGGATAATCACTGATGTCGTCTCTGAACAACATATTCAAGGCTTCAATACAATCGCTGTTAATGCCTTGAATCTCTGCAATTGTGGGAATCTTCTGTGTCTCGCATGTGCATGGCTGAGTAGTATGTCGATTAACCTGAGGAACAGTATGACTATTATTAAATCATAAATTATAATTTTTAATTTATTTTGTTATGTATATACTCTAGTTGCCAACATGGTTAGCTAGTTGTTCCGTTACATTAATAGTCAATACATAATCGATGCTTAAAATGACTTGTTTGGTTTGTTTCAGTCGTATTGCTCCAACTTATTCAAAGTGTATTTAATGGTTGATTCAATGTGGAGCGCCTGTGACGTTAATCCGAATAGGATTGTCGGATGGGGATGTGTGTTGTAGTTTTAATATATTTTTTTTCATTCAATCAACTATGTGCATGATTCACACCCATGTTTGCGAGGTGCATCGTACCTTTTCTTAAGATTTTTTATTTTTGGAGAAAAATAAAAGTGTTTAGCTTATATCTGTCCCAATTGATCCAATATCATCTCAATTATATTGGGATAAGTCTCATCTTAGCTCAAAAATAATCAGGATAAGACTTTACGAGACGAGACAAAAAAGGAGTTCGAGACGAGATAAGATATGAAATTACTATCGGGACATCTCTTTCCATCCCAAATATTATATATATATATACAAATATTATTTTTTATTTTAAAAATATACATTAAATATACTAATTATATTAATTATATCAATTATAATTTCAATACGTGTAATTTTTATTTAAAACTAAAGTTTTTTATGTTGTTAATTTTAATAACATAGATTAAATAGGGCAATATCTTTCTTTATAATATATTAATTATATCAAAATAATTTATTTTTATATCTATCTATTTAATAAAAGAATAATAATTTGATATTGTGCTTAGTTTGCTTGTTGTTATTGCTCTTATAGCGTAAAGATCACTTGTAATTATTATTATGATGAGTAGTTGTAATTAATATAATTCAATAATTGACTTTAAATTATCGTAATTTATGTACTTGTATTGTTTTGATTTTAAATTTAATAAATTCTATGATTTAAAATTTTAATGAATGTTATTTTCTAAATTTTTCTCCAACATTGTCTGATTTATCGAGATGGTAGGACGTCTCAATCTCGTGCCAATCCTGTCCTGATTCCTAATGGTATGGGACAACTTTCAAAATGAGATATGATATAAGATAAAAATTCAATCCTAATTTTTTTTTAGAAACAGGATATGAGATAGAAGTGTTTCGATACTATTTGAATACCTTAAAAAAATATTATATTAATAATATCTGAAAAAAATTTGTCATTTCCGCATCTAGCAATGATGACCATATAACCAATCATCGTTATGAGCGGATTGAGCTAATTTCTAGTGATCTTCCCATGTGTTGCATGGAATTTGACAATTGAGCTTTTTTTTTTTTTTGGGACAAAGAGTGCTTTATTTATTAGTTCCTTATTTGTAATGACAATTGGTCAAGGATATACTACGACAAATCTTTTTTTTTTTTGGAGGATGAAGTGTAACGTGTACTCTTTTATGTTAAGGAAGAATTACATTAAAGTTTTATGTAAGAAATTTAATTGCTATAAAATTCAATAACAATTGAACTATAAAGATTGACAATTAATTGTGTTGTCAATTTTTTTAATTCAATTGTCAATAAATTTTGTAGTGATTAATTTTTTTTTTTGTATGAGATTTGAATGTAATTCTCCCTCAGGCTAAAACGTCTCTTTCTTTTATTGATGGGAAAACTACTAAGAAGGACTAAGAGGTAAATTTTATTTTGAAAAAAGGCCTAAGATCCTTCAAGTGAATTAAGATTAAGATTATAGCCTAAATCACCTAATTTTAATTTATTTTCATAAATAGATATGAAAATCCTGTTAATTTTTAAAAAACCTTATTAATTATTCCTATAAGATATTGAAATGCCTTAAATTTTTAAACATAACAAATGTAAAAGAATGCTTCAAAAATTTTAAACAAAGGGAATATCTTTTTTCTGAATGATTATGAAGATTAAAGAATGTGATTATAATTTTAATTTTCATTACCGTGTTATAGAACTTTTGTGTTTGGTTGGATTGTACATTTTAGACTTTAGAACATTTAGATTTTTTAGATTTTTACAGTGCAAGTTGAACTTTGTATATGATGACGTGAAATATCATTTTTGTTGGTAAAAAATGAAAAGATAAACATTAACCATCAAAGGAGAGCCAGTCTAATATAGCAGTAAACAAGAAAGAAACAAAAGCAAAAGGAACAATCAAAATGATTCAAGAAAAAGCAAGACGTAAACAAAAAAAATCCTAATATCAAATCTTGGATAATAACAAGGACCTTGTCTAGGAGAAGAACCATTAAGGTTGGGGCTTAGAGGCTCATTTTGAAGGACACATCCCTTTAGCCACAACTTGATTAGTCCAATAAGTAGCTTGGCAAGGATATCTTTGGATCTATGGAAAGCAACACATGATTAATGGTTTACTGAGATTTAAAACAAAATTCATAAAGGTTGAATAATCTCACGTAGAACAAAATACTTCATAATCATAGCTAACAAGCTCAACTAATAGGAAGCAAAGCAACATCAAGATTAAAAGAGCCCCACATAGATACACCATACCATCTTGCATAAGAGGTCAAGACAACTCCTTCATAATCCAACTAAACTTATCGACATAAAAAACACCAAAATGTTCATATCCAGGAGGCACCAATTGCAAATCACCTTGATTCTATCACCATTAAGCCTAAAGGAACAAGTAGAACCAAGATCACACAAGAAAAAAGTACTCCCCCCAAATAAATCAAAAGACATTTCAGCCAAGAGGTGGAGTCAATCAAACTCAAAGCCTATGGTGGAAAACTAGATAAAATCACCAAACTTCATTAGAAAAGTAGGGTTGGAGTAGAGTCGAAAGGAATGTATTTATAGGGAGGTCAAATTCCTTCCAATATTGGGTCTTAGGCTGTTCAAAAACACCCATCTCTTCATATTTCTGACAAATTACGTTCGTCCTACTGTCACTAACCATCAGAACCCCCAACCCATCATCGCAGCAAATTGCTTCCATTGACTCCCCTCCCTTAACTCGGCTACTCAAAGAATTACACCCACCCAACAAACATTGAGAGGAGAAGTGTTAAGACCAAGCCACAAGGCAGTGCTGGAAAGCTCCCAAGTGAAGAGGTGAAAGAGCCTTCCATGAAAGAGGGAAGAGTTGAAACGGGCATGGACCTTTGCGGCGCTCTCGCGTGTTTTTGTGGCTTAAAAATATATTTAAAAAAAAAATAAAAGAATTGGTTGAGTTTACAGGCGCCTCAAACCCGAACAATTAGGAGCAATTTTCACAAAAAGTAAGTGAGATCACGAAAATAGAAGGTTTGGATTACGACAAAAGCCAAGCCCATTATGTTTTAACTTAATACTAATATTTTAAATTTGATTTAATTAGATATTTAGGTAAAAAAATTATTTTACTAGCAAGCTCTGTCTCCCGGCCGGTGCCGCCGGCGTACATGTTCAGTGAATTCTGGGGACCATGGCTGCTTTCTATCAGCTCATTGTCGGAACTCCTCATGTTTCTGTACTGATATTCATGAATCATCGCACTTGATGCTGCACATTAAACCAAGCCATGCAGATTCGTTTCGAAAAAACAAAGCGATGCGCATCTTGTCAGGATTTACGTCATGCCCATGCGTTCTTTTTTCTTTTTCCTTTTTTTTTTAAATCTTGCGAAAACTATCACTAGAACATTGACAAAGTCACTGAACTCTCCCTGAGATTTTTTTTTTCCGTTAGGAAAAAATATTCAAACAAATAAAACAGTACTTTAAAATAATTTCCATTTTAAAGTTTAATAACAAGTGAAATTCAAGTGCTTTAATATGTCTTAATACACGAGTATTTAAGTCAATGAATATTATAATTCACCCACAGTTTAGTCTTTCTTCATACAGCAATGAGTTTTGAGATACATCACACATGCATGGAGTGTAAAAGAATTTCCTTTTTTTTTTAAAAGAGCTTTTTTTTTGGGGGGTAAATTGCCAAATTCCATTTTTAAAAGAGATAATTATTCAAGAGTCAAGTTATCAAATTATCAGACGGGGGTGAATAGTGAAGGACCATTTATAGTGATCTAATTATCAAATATAAACGATCAATCAGAAGAACCAATAATGCGAGGATTCCAAGGGTTATGCAACAGAAAGGAAGAATGTGATGATGCGAGAGGAAGATTTTTTTCCCAGACCTTGCATCCTAGGAGTCGCCTCCTTGTATATATCTCGTTTTCTTGAAAGAAAAGAACAACGAAACGTCGAAGTCTCGATGCCTCTAATAAAAAAAGAAAACTCCACTCGTGTATGTCTAATTTCTGCGCAACAAAAATAGGAAATAAATTTATTTATAATAAATAATAAAAAGTGACAAATATTGGTATTAGTACTGTACTACTAAGAATACCTGCCTCCCAAATGTTTAGGCGAGATATCATGACAAACAAAATATACGAGGTTAAAATTTGACGTAGCTAACGCGGCCAGTGCCCTTGGTCAAAAATGGGGGGTTAAATGAAGTGGGCAACAGTTAAAAACACACAAAAGGACAAACAATACGCGCTTATTAAGCTCGCTATTTCATCGTCGCCTCCAAATCCATTGCCAATTCGATTCCGCGGGGCAAGAGAGAAGGATAGAGAGGACTCCATCGTGAATCGTCGGAAATGGCCGTATCAAGTTGTGCTAGGGTTTTCTCCTCCTTCGAGTGTCGCTCAGATCCCGATTTCTCTGCTGCTCCGAGGTTCGAGAAGCTCGGCCAAGGACGATTCACCGCCCGCCTCAACGCTGCTGCTGCCGGAACGGCTGCGTTTCACGGGCTCTCTTCATTGATCCTGAGGTTTCCTCCCAACTTCCAGCGCCAGCTCAGCACCAAGGCTCGAAGGAACTGCAGTAATATTGGTGTTGCGCAAATCGTCGCTGCTTCGTGGTCCAACAACCCTGCTCACGGGGTTCCGGCGTCGTCGGCTGCTTCGTCAGCCGTCGATGCCGCCTCTGCCACAGCTCCCCTGTCCGTGGCTCCGGCGGAGCTTGCGGCCGATGACGACGTTGTCGTCTCGGGGGGTTGTGACGGAAATGGAGCTGTACAGCTTCAGGGTTCAGTCGATACATCTTACTCTTCGTTTTTGAGATCTGATGGAAGCATAGCAATTCATGCCGGTAAGTATTCTTGTATCGATTAACATTTCGAGTCAAATTAGTCGGTGTGAGTTTTTGTCTGGGAAATTTCTGTGTAACCGAATGGTTGCTTTCGTGATCGTATTTAACATACTTTACTTTTTTCTTTTTCCATAATTGGAAATCTTGCAGACATTAGACCTAGATCTTACTCTTTCTATTGTCCTCTCTCCTGTACTCGGTTTCTCACGCCGAGCCTCACGTTTTAGAAGTCACCTTCACCACTTTTAGTGTCTTAACTGGACTATGATTTACTTTGACGTTAAATTTTATGTATTAAACTTCTGATCTGATTAATTTTAAATTTGGCCTTTGCAGCTGAAAGATTAGGTCGTCGTATCGTAACTGATGCGATTACCACCCCTGTGGTGAATACTACCGCCTACTTCTTCAAGAATTCCGCGGGCGTCGTTGATTACAAGGTACTATTAGGTCATTGTATCTTCCTTTGAAGGAAGTAATGAAATATGTTAACTTCTAAAACATGCTGAAATAGTATTCGTTATTGGTACACGTTGTGATGAATGGACTGTTTTCATTCTGTATCAGGAGAAACGTCTATTTAGTTTTGAATACGGGCGCTATGGTAACCCGACGACAGTTGTTTTAGAGGAGAAGATAAGGTTGGCATTTGGTCTTATATTGATCTTTAAAATTTTCCATGTGTTAAGACACTAAATGAGTCTTTCAAACCAGTGCTCTGGAGGGGGCCGAATCAACTTTAGTTCTGGCATCTGGAATGTGTGCTAGCACAGTCCTTTTGATGGCACTGGTTCCAGCTGGGGGACATATTGTCACCACTACAGATTGCTATAGGAAGACCAGAGTTTTCATTGAGACTTTTCTCCCAAAAATGGGAATCACGGTAATATGATGCTTCCTCTCATCCTTGGTCTTTCTTTGTTTCTTTCTTTTTTCCTTTTCATTTTTTATTTTTAAATTTCGTTTGTTGGTATTGAGGGGGAAGAACGTGCTTCTTTTGCAGTTCTAAATTTGTGCAGCCTTTATAACTTCATCAGATGTTTTCGCCCAAAACATTTGGAAGGACAGAAATTTGTTAGGCAAAAGGCTCCACTGTGGAAGTCTTGATGGTAAAAGAGGGAAATAATGATAATAATTCTATAGGAAGATGTGCTGAATGTAGAAGTGGGATTTGAGGATAGGGTCGGGTAAAAGTAGATTGAAAATTTTTAAATAGGTCGACAGTTTATGCTACTGCCTTTTTACATCCTGGTCGCGGCTTTAGTGGTTATAAAACTCTCAACTTTTTGTTTCCTTTATGGTGCAGGCCACTGTTATTGATCCAGCTGATATGGGGGCTTTGGAAACTGCACTGAATGAAAACAATGTCAGTGGTGAAGAGGGAATGAATTCCGCTTTGAAGCTGCCTCTGTGTGTGTGTCTGTTCAGTAATTCTAACGTATGGTTTATGGTGCATCATTTTGTTTGTATGCAGGTGTCACTGTTCTACACTGAGTCTCCCACCAATCCATTCCTCAGATGTGTTGATATTCAGCTGGTTTCAGAGCTTTGTCACAGCAAAGGGGCTTTGGTGTGCATTGATGGTACATTTGCCACAGCTATGAACCAGAAAGCCCTTGCACTTGGGGCTGATGTTGTCATGCATTCCGCAACAAAATACATTGCTGGTCATAATGATGTAAGTTAGCCTCACCTTCTCTGGGAAAGCTAGTATGATTAAGAAAGAAAAAAAAATTCTAATAAACAGTATCTCATAGTTCATAGCTAATTTAATGAGTCATTTTTTCCTGTTTCAGGTTATTGCTGGCTGTATAAGTGGTCCAGAGAAGTTGGTTACCCAAATTCGCAATTTACATCATGTTTTGGGTGGTACTCTCAATCCAGTAAGCCTTTTATATTAAACCCATGCCCTTGGGTGGTTTATATTTTCAACGTGTCTGTATGGAAAATCGTTATAATTAATTGTTCCTGTGCTATGCCTAATAGAGTGCAAATGTGTTAACAGAATGCTGCATACCTTATCATTAGAGGCATGAAAACTCTGCATCTACGTGTACAGCAGCAGAATTCAACAGCATTGAGGATGGCCAAAATTTTAGAGGCACATCCTAAGGTACAATTCATTTATGTGTAGAAGATGACAATATCTCTATAATTGATTCAGATTTTGGACAAGGACTTGTTTTTATAAGCTTGAAAGGAGTATGGACACAAGAAAGGATGACCTTTTTCAATCAACATTCCATTTTTGTTGAATCATGAATGTATTATTCTCTACCAAAGTATGCTTGTCAAGCCAAGCTACCGCCCGTATTTTTATGCTACTGCATATTGGATCAGACATTGGTACTGTTTAATTCTGTTTTCTTGATTAATTTCGATGTGAAGTTCTTTCAATCTTTGTAGGCCTGTATGTTGAGCTTTTTTGGGGTCAACTTTATGGTCGTTAATCAAGCAGTTCTGGATAATTGTGTTGAAGCTAGCATATGTTTTAACAGTGTTCCCCCCTTTTAAAACTATTTATTTATTTATTTATATTTTTCTATTTAATGTCTCTACTGATTCTTGGTATCAGTTTAATAATTTAGAACTCAATGCTAACTAGAAACATTCCTCTTGCATTGCGTAGGAATATCCAAATTCTTTGAAATAAACAAATAATTTGATGAATTATTTAGTATGCACTGCATTTAAAGAATTATTACTCCTTTGAACAGTTACAAATGTGGTTTTATATTGCAGGCGTATCATCATCAATGAACAGTAATAGATTATTTGAATTTTATGCAGTAATGTTTACCCCCCAGGAATGTCGTGAAAAAACATGTCTAAGTTCTGCTTCTGATATGATGTGAACTGGTATAATGGTGTATAATAATAATACTACTATTGGCAGGTGAAGCGTGTCTATTATCCAGGCTTACCAAGTCATCCTGAACATGAGCTTGCCAAGAGGCAGATGACTGGTTTTGGAGGCGTTGTTAGTTTTGAGGTGCGGATCTCCTTTCCATTGTGGGGCAGCTGCTAGCTTTCATGTTGTTTTGTAGCAGATTTTGCTTGACGCTATTTGTGTTGGTTAATATTGATGTCTCTTCTGCTTATCATACAGATTGAAGGAGACTTGTTAACCACCAGTAAATTCGTTGATTCACTGAGGATTCCATACATTGCTCCATCCTTTGGAGGCTGTGAGAGCATTGTGGATCAGCCTGCCACCATGTCTTACTGGTACTTTATAGATTCATTGTTTTATATTATGCATATAAACTAATCACTGCTCGTCATGAGCAAGGTCCTGTTTTGTTGTTACTAGAGCGTCGTTAGTGAGTTTCATGATATCATATAATAATTAGCCAACGTTTATCCGGCAACAGGGACCTTCCCCAGTCAGAAAGGGCCAAGTATGGGATTCATGACAACCTTGTCCGTTTCAGCTTTGGAGTCGAAGACTTCGAAGATTTGAAGGCGGATATTCTTCAGGCTCTGGAAGCCATATAGGGTGCGGTCACCGAGGCCATGTTGATTCGGTTCTTGATCCATTTTGTTATCGTTCATGGTGAATCATACTATGAGTTTGATCATCAATCGCCTTCTGTTGGCTTTATGTTCAAGGATTTTCAATAATTTTAATTTCAATGTTTCTCTAGTTTTGCTGAAACTTCCGGCGGATGTTTGACCATCTATCATCTTCCTCCCAAAATAAAGCTGCAAAAGCTGATATTTGAAGAGTCGGTTTACTACCGGACTTTTGATCACTTGCTTGCGCTGTGGCGTTCTGTTTTTATCATTTATTAATTTTACTAGATATCGTTTTGTTTTCATCTTTTTTTTTTTAATCCTTTTCTGTTTGCTCTTAAATTTTATAATAAATTCGTTCAACTGAGCCCTGCTTCAACTGTATATAAAAGAATGTATACATAATTTCTAAAACATAAATGTTAAATATATAATTTAATTAGAGAATTGGTAAATTTATATATTAAAATTGTATGCTAGTCATGTCATTATTGAATAAAATTATACGATCATCATATTCTAATTAAATAATTTCATGATAACGAAAAAAAATATACACATGATGTTTTAGTTTCATTCAGATATCTATAGATTATGAAAGCAAAGTAGTTTGAGCAAGATAGCTAATCAATTGTGTCAATTGCTAGGTTGATGTGATGTCAAGTGAATTTATTAGAGGATGTGGGTCATGTCTGTTTTATCAAGGTTATCCTTGGCATGGTAGAATGTACTGAGCAACAAGGAATCCCTGATACAAAACGTCTTCCCCGCTTAGGCCAGGATAAGAGTTAGCACAAATAAGCTTTGTTTTAAGGGAATTAAGTAGTTTTAAATCAAGGGAGTAAGATCAAGCCAATTTAGCTTTGTTGCTATCTGAATTAGCGTCCATCTTGTGCTACTTATTCAATTAATCAGCAAAATATACTCCTCTAGTTCTACATATTAGTCATTTTTTAAAAATATAATTTGATTCACCTTATAAATTATTAATTGATGTAATTGTTTTGCTTTAAATTAAAATTTTCATATTACTCTTAAAAAGTAAGAGAGAGAGATAAAAACATAATATTATATTATTTATTTACTTTTTGCTTGGGGTTATATTTAAAATTTTATTTATTTTTATTCTTTATATTTTAATTATATTGATATTGGTAAAATTAATAAAAATAATTTATATATAGGATTAGAGGGGGTAAATAACTAGCGTAATTCAAGTTTTGGAACCCATTGCCGCTTAACATGCAGAAAAACGAATAAAAGGTTTTATCTTGCACATCCTTCCATCGGGGATGTAGCTCAAATGGTAGAGCGCTCGCTTTGCATGCGAGAGGCACGGGGTTCGATCCCCCGCATCTCCAGTGTTTTTTCCACACTTTCCCGATGGACGGGGAAAAACGATGGCGCGTCACATGTTATTGTTTTCAAATTAAAAATACTTTTTGGCCCGGGGGGGGGGGGGGGGGGGGCGGGGGAAGTAATATTGTCCGTATGTGCCGATACTTATGCGGACCATCAATTCACGGGTGTGTCATCTCTCCCTACAATTTATTATTAGTCGATGTATTTTATACGATTCTGTTTTGATAAAATCAGAGTTTATACTTGTAACAAATTCCAGGTTAAAAAAAAAGATATGTGCAGCAAATTAAAGAAAGAATAATAAAGAAGTTCTAAAAGAATTAATTAATTTAAATTAAGTTTTAAGTGTTAAATTTTAAAAATTTGTAACTTAATCTTTCAATTTTTTAACTCTATTGTGATAAATTTAAAACTTATATTTTAAATTTTAATAAAGAAAACAAATTTCATTTGGAAAACCGCTTAACTAAGCCATATTAAAATTTAAAAAATAAATTACAAAATCATCATAACACAGTTGTAAAATTGAGATATGGACTTGAAAATTTTTGAAGTTTAGTACTTGAAATTTAACTTGAATTAATCAATCTTTTTAGATTTTTTTGTCATACTCCCTCTTAAATTCTGTGTATTCTCGTGTAGGTAATACATTGTGTCTTTTGCTGGTCTGACGATGCAATCTTGACAATTAATTATCAATTATAAGTTTAAAAAAACATAAAAAATAAAGGAAAAAAGAAACGAGAAATGTTAAATTGAAAGATATATATATATATATATATATATATATATGCATGTATGTATATATATATATGGAACTTGGAACGTAGTCTAAAAATAACTAGGTCGAATTCTTTAACTTGCTCCTCTGGAATGACCTGTAATCAGCTAACAATCTTACCGTGTATCCTTTCTTGATATCCTCCACGATTGTCCTGATAATCTGTTCATTAATAAGCTAATCAACCCCTTAATTACTTACTGATTATCTTAACATATGTGTGTGTGTATACAGTGTAAGAGTTAAAAGACAATATTATATATATATATATATATATATAAAAGGCTAACCGAATGCACGATATTGTCCAAGACATGGTGAGGAACCCAAGCGAGAAGTGGAGGGAAAGCGATGGTAATATTGGCTTTCAATTGATTCTTAATAATGCAGCCGCGATGATCAGTTGCATGTGTTAGAGGGTACAAGGTTCCAGAAGCTTCGATGTTGAAGAAAGGTGGCATGTAATCTGAATGCAGACCTTGAAGCTCCCACTTTGTCTGGAAAATGCAGATTGTAGGGTTCATGAGAGAAGCACACGTAAGGGATGGAGCGAACAAGAAGGAAGTGCTTACAGTGTGAGTCTCGTAGAGCTTAGTGATGTGAGGAGGAACATGAGGAGGGTAATCTTGTCCATTCGATTTTGTGGCCACTCTTATGTCTATCACTGGCTGTGCCTTCAAGAATAAGGCTTCTATCACTGGCATTGTTATTCTCCACTCTTCCTGCTTATTATTGCGTCACATTTCATAATAATATCAATTGAAATTAAATTAAATGACATTCATTTTTAGCATTTAAATACTCAAATCAGGTTATGTAAAACTGAAAACGATTTTTTATTTAATTTATTTTCAGGAAAAGTAAGGAGAAATTTCAATTGGTGAAAGATTTTCTTTGATATTTGCTAATAAAACAGACAATGATTTGTAGTTTTTTTTTTTTTTTGGTTATGAAGGCATAATCTAATAATTGGATCCGAGCAAAATTGAAAATGGATTGGGGGTCTGGGGAGTGATGACGCCTCCATCGACATGACATATATAGAAGGGTTTTGGGCAAAAAAAAAAAAGAAAACCTTTGCAATGTGCAGCAGGGGAAGCAAATAAATATGGAAGGAATAGCTTTCAAGGAGCTCGGGAGGCATTTAACAACCCAAAAGATAAAAACATTCTAAAATATCAACGGAGGATCAGATTAATTTAAAAATAATTTAAAATAAAAAATTATAATATCTTCATTTGGAAAAAAGCAAAACTCCAACACAAGCAATTAATTAAGTAGCTGTTTGAATTTCAGTTTACATCAAACAAAAATATATTTGAAAAATCTAACTATTTGTTAAATTTGACAAAAGCATCTCAAATGTGATTTGGATATACTTTTAAAGGTTACTTAAACAGGCCCTAAGTCCTCTTGGTGGTCAAAGGAGATTTGAATTCGAGGTCTCTTTGCCACCAAAAAAGTAATAAGCCACTAAACCACCACCCATTTCTTAAAAAAAAAAAAGAGGATATTGTAGTCTTTTTTATTTAAAATTATTTTCAAATTAGTCTTTTGATTATGTAGTGATATATCATAATATTTTGATATTTTTGAGCTATTAAATGCCTACAAAGTTCTTTGAATGCTATTTTCTCAATAAATTATACTACATCTAAGGGTGCTTGACCTAAATTAACTTATCATAAAATGTCAAATTCAAGTTTTGAGATATATAATTGTATTAAATAAATATATTAAAAGGCCTTTCAAGACAACTATCATTATTGATCGTAATGGTCCCATATAGCAAGAGTCTAAATTAATCTAGATAAGAAGTGATAATACTTTAGGTTTTTTAGGATGTTAGCATTGCTTGTGAAATTGTTCCAGGCTAGCTACCCAGAGATTCGACTGTGTCTAGTATGATTTTTTTTGTTTAAAGTGGACATAACTGACACGGGTTAAATCGGGTGATTCAAGATCAACCCACCTAACCCTGTAGGCTAGGCGGGTTGGATGGATTGGATTTTTTAAAATTCCTAAACTCCAAAAATTTTTAAAAAATAAAACAGGACAGAAGCCCCATTCCATTTAGTCTTTCTCATTAAATACATTTAATAACTTTTTTTTTAAAATAAAAATATAAACTTTTAAAAATATCTTCATTTAATAACCTTAAATTTACATTTAATTAGTATTAATTATAAAGAAAGAAAGTGTAATATTGGAATTAATTTATTTAATGAAACTTTAATCTTTTCAAAATATTTCATATTTTGGAAACACAAATCTCTCTTAAAAGTGTTTTATAATTTAAAACATGAGAAGCATTTATTATTTATAATATAATAAAAATATATTATTTTATTAATATTGGTTGAATTCTCAATCTTTAATTTCTGACCTTGGCCAATTCAAGTCAATTTGATTTTCAGTATCTTGGATGTTAGCGATGAAATAAACAAAATCCTACACCTCGTGCATGAAAAACGGGAAAAAAAACCAAAATCAGATTGGGGGGGGGGGGGGGGTGAGTGTTGTTTCACGATAGGCGTGTGTATGTTGGAAGTTGCTTGCTCCTTGGTTCTTCATGATGATGCACGGAAGCAATTGCGTGAAGTGAACATACAGACGAGGCTACGTACACACCTGATTGAGGCGCAGAGCACTTGATTTTTCTGGAATGATAGCTCCCACTATTCTTCCCTTATCCTCCATATACTCTTCAAACCAATCCTGCCAATTGATACCAATCATTAACATTTAATTAACATAATTAATTAACGAATCCCATCCATATGATCATTAAATAATAGAGATTTGAGAATTGGCAGGGGAGGATCTGTAATATACCGCAGGAGCACCGGGTAAGTGATGGAGAGGCACATTATCGGAGGTACGGTAAGTGAAGGTATAAGCTCTCTGATTGATGATCGCCGTCCGGCGTGACGGTGCTGATCCAAATGCCTTTTGACGTCGCCGTCCAATATGTCTCTGTTGAGCTCTGATCAGCTGTGTCGTCTTCATTACTTGCGGCGCCCAAGTGGTGGTTTGGCAGCCAATCACGCTGCTTGCCGCCATTCTTCACGAATCTCGATCACTTCACCTTCTTCTAATTGAATGATCCTGCATGTACCTTCCTTCCTTTTCCAATTTATACATGCTTCAATCCTAACTTAGCCCATAAAGTTGAGAATACGGATCCGACCTTTAAAGGTTTAGTCTTTATGGGCTTAGCCTTTAAAAGTCTGAGCCCTAAAGCCCAATTTTTTATTTTAAATTTTATTTTTCAAGCTCAATCCTTTTGTGAAGAGTTCTGGATCAAGTGTTTTAAAAAATAAAAAAATTAAAATAAAATTAAATATTATAAATTAATTAAAATATTTTAAAATAAAAAAATTAAAATTCTCATAATTTTTTAAAAATTAAACAACACACATTTAGAAATTTATTAATAAAATTTAAATCTTAGTTAAAAAATAGTTTATTTTTTATAAATACATAAACATAATAATTAAAAAAATTAAAAAAATATTAAAAATTTTATAATATACACTGATATTTACTAAATTATATTAAATTAATTTTAAAATAAATTAAAATTAATAATAATATAATGTGTGTTGGATGAGGTGAGCAGGTCATTGGCTTTAACTACATGTGACAGGATATCATTCTTCTCACTACACCAAATATATCGTGTGAAAAATATCTTCTTACAATTAACTTTAAATCAATATGTTTTTATCAACCGATCAATCATCTCAATCAATTATTATATAATTTTTTGGAGGACATGCCAGCGCACATTAGCAATATTAATAGACATGACTTAGTTTGAATTGCGTGATCTATATGTCTAATCTATAATAGTCTATTTTTAAATATTTATTTTATCGGTGACCATCACGCGAGGGCGTTATGGATTTTAAGCTTATAAATGGAATTAGACGAGTAGGTATCCAAAAGATATTGAATGACACACTACCCAATCGTAGAATTAAGATAGAAGCGTGTAACAAATTAACATGTTTGCATTTTAGTCTATATTATTTTAATATATAGATATATAATTTCTCTAACAAAGTCATACAATTTTTCTCTAGAGTTTTCACCCAGAACGAGGCACGTAGTTTTTCTCCATGTTCCCCATTTTAATTAGCTCTCTTTACGTGTATTAAAATACATTAAAATTACTTCAATTTTTTGTATATATATCATCACGTTAGATACTTACACTTGTGCTATATTTTTATGCACAAATATAATTAAGAGGCCTGGGTATAATCCTCCATGAAAGAATCCACATGCCGTACGTGATTTTGTTCTGCCTTAAAATATAAAATTAAAATGTCAGCCCTTGTATCCCCATACCTTAAAATATACAAACTTTCAGCCATGAAGACCTGCAACGAGGATTCTTTAATTTACAAGCATATATATGATTATATGCTCTTCTTCTCATCATTTGCCATTCATTAATTAGAACTTGAAGTTCTGGTAAAAAAAAAAAATTAGAACTTAGAAGAATCAAAGGGGAAAAAATTAAAGTTCTTCTAATCAATATTTTGTTGGCTAATTAACTAATCAAGATTGTTGTTTACCTGATTTAGTAAACGCAGCTGTAGGTTGTTTAATTAATTAGTGTCTGCGGGCACGTAGTCTGCTTGGGGACGACCTTGAATATCCACTAAAATGATTAAATATATATTGATCTCCAGGTTTTGAGGTATGTAAGAATAACATGACTAAATTAAGTCGTGAATTATTAATTAATATTTTATGATATCACCCCAAGAGCTTGATTTTCTTCACTTAATATACGTTTTGTTTTGTAGTAAGGGAGACAAATTAACTATTAAAGCAAGAATGATATTATTGGAGTGATCAATGAAAAATCGGAAAGCTAGATTATGATATTACCCTTATATCATAGTAGTAATAATAATGATTAGTGGTGTGTTTAAATAATACTCCCTCCATCTCAATTTATATAAGACATTCATTTATAGACACAATTACACATACCAATAAAATTTATTATTAAATATATTTTATAACTTTATTTTTTAAAATAAAAATATAAACTACAAAAAATGTCTTTAATTTAATACTTTATTTATGAAATAATTTTAAAGAGAGAATTTATGTAACTTTAAAAAATAGCATTAATGAAATATTATTTTTATTAAAGTATTTTGTATTTTAAAATGTTAAATTTTTCATAAAAATATTTTATAATTTAGGACGGATATAATAACAATGAAAATCAAACGATGTTTTCTGAGAAGAAACACATACATGGATATAAAAAAGAAGTCGTGTATAAGTAGCTGATCATCACTTTTGGAAAGGGACGCATTACTTCTTGTTCACTAAAATTCTAAATTTCTAAAAAAAAAAAAAAACAATTAGAAGAGAAAAAGTTGGACACGATAGGCATCTCTTTGCTTCTCTCTTTCCTCTTTAAGCAAATTGAGGGATATGGAGTGACGCTGCGTATAAGAACGGAGCCATTCTTTGCGGGGACCCCAACACCCAAAAAGCATGTTTTTATTTCTTAATGTTGTATACGTTTGGATTAATACAACATTTAAATATGAGCTAATAATTTTTTATTTAAATACGTAAAAAATTTATAGATTTAAATTTGATTTAAATTTAAATCAATTTGTTAGTATAATTTTTCATAATTTCAAATCCCTTACTCAATACTTTAGTTATTTAAAATTTTAATTACTTCAACCCTCTCACTCTATTTTTCTTTTCATTGTTGATGCTTCTGTCAGTATCACATATTTTCTTGTCTTTTGTTCTCATTTCTTTTTAATTGAGAAATATATAGATAAGCTTGTCATTTTTAATTTTTCTCTTTTATTTTAAATCTTAACTCATCTCTTTTCTTTCTTAAAAGTTTTTAAACTATTTAAATAATAAATTTTAAATTTATAAATTTTAAATGTGAGATTTTAAATACAAAATTTATGTCCAAAGTTCATCAATTCAAATATAATAGTAAGTAGTGTCTGGGTTGATGGACTCGCATTTGAAGATTAGATTTAAAATCTTAAATTTAAAATTTATGTATTTAAAATTATTTGTTTAGATAGTGTAAAAAATTTTAAAGGTAAAAGAGAGACAAGTTAGGATTTGAAGCAGAAATAAGATATTTAAAGTGACAAACTTATTTCAATTCTTCAATTAATAAAAGATGAGAACACAAAATAAGAAGAATGGTGAGAATAATAGAAACACTCATATTGAAAATGTGAAGAATATAAAAGGATTAAAATAGCTAAAATTTTAAATAATTAATGTCCAGATAAAATTTAAAAAAAAGATATAATAAAACATATATTTAGATTTGAATTAAATTTAAATTCAAAATTTTTTATATGTCTAAATAGAGATTTATATATAAATCCTCTCGCATCCAAACCTACCTAATTGAGTCTAATGGATATTGTCACCTTTAGAAGCTAAAATTTTCAGGATTTAATTTTCCGACTATTTCTTTCTATGTGCTACAGCAAGCGTGGCCCATTTGTTGACATCAAAATGAAGCCCCTTTATAGTTGTTTTGAATTTGCCAGATCCTACAGAGACATAATCCAAGACAACGTGTGTTTTAAGTATGTCAAATATGTGTTTTTTAAAATTATATCTATTGATTTATTTTCGCAGACTTTGAAAATTTAATTTATCCCATTTTTTAATTTCAAACTATCAATATATAATCATCCATGAAAATGTAATGTAACTATAATTTTTTTATATTATTTACATTTTTCTTAAGAATTACTATATTAGCTATATGATTTCATTTTATGTACTTTTGGTTTTGTTTAAAAAAATATTATGTGATTATGTATAATTTATCATCTAACAACATTTTGTAAGTTGATCCTAGAATTATCTTTTATAAAACTAATTATGATGAATATTTTAAAAAATAATATTAGTTTTCAAAAAGTTTATCCCTAGGACATGGTCCAGCTGGGCGGCTGGCTAGTGGCATACACTTTTGCCCCTCCCCTCCCAATTACGTTCTCAATTTGGTGATGTTTTGGCTAATTGATTTGTATTTTGTACAAATGGTGGCTAATATATAATTATTGGAATTGTTTACAACTTTAAATCTTTCGTCTACATTTACCTTATATGTCAAAATTCAGTTAACCGTCCCAAATAAGATCAAATAATCTTGACTGCGCATGATTAGGAAATCACAAACAAACAAAAAATCACTCTTTTTCCTACCAAATAACAACTGCATATTTCAATGTATCAATGGTATTTAGTACATTCTTACTTAAATATCTCCACTCAAATAACAGATAATAGCTTTTGGCAAAAAAAAAAAAAAACAATTATAAATATCACAAAACCCAGATTTGAGAAAGTAAACCTAAAAAGTGGAATTACAACATAAAAATGAGTTAGAACTTAGATTACGCATGTTTGCGTACGAGTTACTGATATGTTAGGTTTCATGATAGAAATTACGTTTCAATGGAGGTGGCAATTCTGGTGAAAGCAACGTCTGCACTACTTTTTACTGGCCAAAAAACAAAGACGTCTGAACTACTTTTACAAATTTTCAACGTAAATCCACCATTTGAATTTAAATTTTAGATCTAAAATTTTGAATGCATAAAAAAAAACGTACACCAATAAAAGTAAGTTGTCATACTTAGGACTTGTCCACGTGCTTGGGTAATACTAAAAAGATAATGGTTAATATTTGAAATAATTACTCTTCACGTCTCAAATTATAAAATATTTTTGAATAAAATCTCACATACTAATAGAGCTTATTAAATACATTTTACAACTTTACTTTTCAAAATAAAAATATAAATTTTTAAAAATGCCCTTCATTTAATAATCCATTGAAAAGAATATTGAAAAGAGAAAATACATGAGAAGAGTAATATTGAAAAAGTATCATTAATGAAATCTTCTTTTATCAAAGTGTTTTATTTTTTAAAACACTAAATCTTTTCTAAAAGTATATTATAATTTGAAACGGAGGGAATACTTAATTAGGGTAGATTAAGTATTTAAAATTCTAAAAGAGTTATATTTTTTTTTTTGGTATTTAGATCGAATTCAAATTCAAATTCATAATGTTTTTTATATCTAAATAAAAGACTTGATTTAAAT